CACTTAAACCCCCGACATTAGGTCCTCATTTTTCTAAAGAAGTCTTGTGCAGCTGATTTACCCAATGCAATGTGTCCTTTGATCTCTATTGATTGTGGATCCAAGCAAGACAAAATCCTTGACAACTTCAACCTTTTCTCCATTTATCATAATGTTCCTTATTTGGTCCAGCTGTGAAGATGTTGGACTTCTTGGCATGAGTTTTAATCCATACAGAAGGCTACAATCTGATCTTCATTTGCAAGTTGTGACTAACCCTTCCTCAGATCCTGATGCTTCTCCCTATCATCCAGACTCTCTGATGACTGGCTCAGCACAGATTGAACACGGATGGTGAGAAGGTAAGGTACAACCCTGTCCCACACCTTTCCTGATTTTTAACCGTGCCATATTCCCTTGTTCTGTTCACACGACTTCCTCTTGATCCATGTACAAGTTCCACCCACATGAGCACAATGAACTGTTTTAGAATTCCCATTCTCAACATTGTTAGCCACAATTTATTATGGTCCACGCATTCGAATGCCTTTGCTTAGTGGGAAACACAAGTAAACATCTTTCTGGCATTTTCTGCTTTGAGCCAAGATCCATCTGACCTCAGCAATGATCGCCCTTGCTGCGTGTCTCTTCTGAATCCGGCCTCAGCTTCTGGCAGCTGCCTGTCGATGTGCTGCTGCCACTGTTGGATGGTCTTGTCGTACTGTGGTGGTCTGTGTGATGCTGGGAGCTCTGTCACTGGTCGTTTCAAATGCCAGCTGTCACCCAGCGTGAACATGTTTCAGCAGAGCTTCCAGACTAAGAACGGACAACAAAGAAGGCCCTGACTCCTAAAACTGCATACTTCTAGCGACTTATATACTTCTAGCCATTTAAATGTTTGTTTTATTTGCTTATTTACTCTTTTAACAGAGGAATTTACTCAAGTAATATTTGCCTGTGGTTGCATTAGGGAGCCCTGTTGGTCTAGTGGGTAAAGCAGCCTGCTGCTAATCAAAGACGAGCGGTTCAAATCCACCAGCCACTCAGTCTGTGAGAGAAAGCCATGGCGGCTGCTTCTGTAATGACCAGTCCAGGAAACTAGAGGCTTGGGAGGAGTCAGAATTGAATCAACGGCAGTGGGTCTGGTTTGGACTTTTTCCATATATGGTTTGGTATTGATTATGAGTTCTTTTTCAGACCCTTTTATATAAAAATGTTCAAGCATAGAAAAGTAGATGAATAATAAACACAGTTGCACATCTCTATATTCTCCACACAAAACCAGGGGAATTGGGTGTTCAAAGATACCAAGGGAGGAGGGCGTTCAAAGAATGAGGCCTGTAATTCACAACAAACACTGTTGCCCAGTGAGACCAATGAACAAAGCGAATCCACCTTCAGGCTAACGACCCCGGAGAGCTGCGGGATTCACACTTACGCAGCTCTGCGCACGGCTGGAGTCTGGGCGAAGGAGAGGGCGAGGAGCGGGGTGGTTTGTGTGGACAGTTTTGTCAAGCCTGATTGTCAAGGGAAGAAAATAGGTGGGAGATGTGAGGTCAAGGGCACGTTTCTTTCCAGGTTTTTGTAAAGATACTGCTGGGCATGCCTGACAGAGAAGAATATTCCTGCAAATGGGTTTTGCAAAAGGTGAAAGTTAACTTAAAAGTTTATTGCGATAAAAGAAAGGAATATTGCAGAAGTAACAGAGGTCTTCCAGTGAGTTAAAAAATTATGAAATGATGTATTCTAGGTAAGGGAAACAAATGCATACCTATATTTGGGGGATTTAAAAAATTTTATAAGCCTATAGATTCCTTAAGGGGGGGAAACATACAAATTATATATATATATATACATATATAACTTGTCAGAGAAGTAAGACACGTGTTATAATCCCCCATTGGAAAGAGATTCTCCTTGTCTTTTGATGGTAAAAAGTAAAGTCCTTTTCTACTGTCCTCCACTGTGCCTCTTCTTAACACTTAGAAAAGACAACCTCCTTCCGCTCTGTAAGGCCTGAATCCAAATAAAGAATAGAGAAGATTGAAGAGAAAACATTCACATAGAACTCTTACCTTCTAATAATATTACAAAAAATACTTTACAAAAGGTGTACGTGATCACTGAAGACAAAATGGGTACGTAAGCAAAAGTGAAGAAAGCTGATGGTGCCCACCTATCAAAAGATATGGCATCTGGGATCTTAAAGGCTTGAAGATAAACAAGTAGTCATCTAGCTCAGAAGCAACAAAGCCCTCGTGGAAGAAGCACACCATCTATGTGATCACAAGGTCGATGAGATCAGGTATCAATCATCAAAGAACAGAAAATCATACCAATGTGAATGAGGGGGGGCGTGGAGTGGAGACCCAAAGCCCATCTGTAGACAATTGGACATCCCCTTACAGAAGGGTCACAAGGAAGAGATGAGCCAGTCAGGGTGCAGTGTAGCAACGAAAAAACACAACTTTCCTCTAGTTCTTTAATGCTTCCTCCACCCACTGTCTTCACCCCAATTCTACTTTACAAATCTGATTAGACCAGAGCATGTGCACTGGTACAGATAAGAGCTGGAAACAAGGAATCCAGGACAGATGAACCCCTCAGGACCAATAATGAGAGTAGTGATAGCAGGAGGGTAGGGGGGAGGTGGAAGGAGAAGGGGGGAACTGATCACAATGATCTACATATAATCCCTTCCCAGGTAGAAAGACAACAGAAAAGTAGGTAAAGGGAGACATTGGTCAGTGTAAGACATGAAAAACTAATAATTTATAAATTATCAAGGGTTCATGAAGGAGGGAGAGAGGATGGGGAGGGAAGGGGGAAAATGAGCCGATACCAAGGGCTCAAGTAGAAAGAAAATGTTATGAAAATGATGATGGCAACATATGTACAAATGTGTTTGACACGATGGATGTATAGACTGATAAGAGCTATATGAGCCCCCCAATGAAATGATTTTTTAAAATTGTGTATAAACATATACTGTTATCGAGTTAATTCTGACTCAGTGACCCTATATAGAATTTCCGAGGATCTAAATCCTTACGGGTGCAAATAGCCTCAAAAAACATATTTCTATCTTTTATATATACTATATACTTAATATTTATATAGTACATACATGGCATGTGTGTTATGATAGTGTACCTATTTTGAGTAGCTTTTTAAGGTGTGGTCTGTGCAAGATGCACAGTTGGAGACAGTGGGGTAGTCTGGGCCCAGAAACAGGGTCAGGTCCCGTGAAACGACCCCATGGCATGCCAGTGACCCTATGGAAGATAATTGCCCCAACAGACAGCTTTGTGTAAGTTCATGCCCATTTTCCATGAAAAGGATGCTTAAAGAGAGCAAAAGCTTCTCATGGGATTATCTGTAGATGCAAAGGACCCCCCACGAAGGCTCTTTGGGGGTGGCATTTCCTTCTAGTCATTCACTGTGACCTACTCCTGTGCTCCTTTTTGGGCTTCATTTCTACAAAAACAGAATAATTTTTAACTACAGAAGAAAGAAAATGCTTATCTCCAATTGTAGAAAAAAAGCATTGGTTACTTTGCCCTTAAAGTCTATTATGTACACTAACATTTATCTTACACTCTGTTCTTTACAATAACTGATGGTTGTCAGGACCTTTCAGAAACACATTAACTGCTACTCCTGAAGCTCCTCTGGGTGGGCTCATACTACCAACCTTTAGCTTCGCTGTCAAGCACTTAATCATTGTGACAACTCACACCTATAGTGTCCGTTGTTAGGTGCCATCAAGTCGGTTCTGACTCACAGCGACCCTATGTACAAGAGAAGGAAACGCTTCCCCATCCTGCAGGACGCTGCTCACAATCGTTCTTCGAACTTACTGTTGCTGCCTGGCATGCAGTCCCATCAATGTCCACTAGAGGGTCGTCGTTTCATGTTTTGCCTCCCTCCCCTCCCCCTTCCAAGTTCAATGAGTAGGTAGGTAAAAAGAGAAGCTGCCCCCTGCAAGGTCCATGGCCCCGTACAAAGCATTTCAAAGCAGACGTTAGTCATAGCTGATGGTAGGAAGGAACATTTTCTAGGTACATCAGAATTAGAAAATTCTAATTGAACCTTCAGAGATTCAAGTTGTATAATTACAATAATGTATTTATTTCTGAGCAGGTTTACCATATGAAGTGTGTGTGTATATATATATAGATATTTTTCTCTCCCTTAAGATCTGTTGTTATACAAATAAATGAAAAACCCATTACCGTGGACTTGATTCCAACTATAGTGACCATATAGGACCGAAGTAGAACTGCACCGTGGACTTACTGAGGCTATAATCTTTTCAGGAGCAGACAGCCTCATCTCTCTTCTGTGGAGCAGCTGATGAGTTCAAACTGCTGACTTTGGGGTCAGAGCAAAGCTGACCCCACAGTGCCGCATGGACTCCTTTTTAGTGCTTGAGATACTTTGATGATTTACTCAGTACATAAAAATGCCACCTGGTCTGAAGTCATGCTACTTGAAGGAAATTTCTATAATTTTGAGGAAATATTTTAACATGTCGGATATTCTGTTAACTAGGAGACTTCTGCTCAGAAAAGAAATCCGAAACTCACTTCTGCCTTATCAGCCACACGGATGAGCGTGTAACCCCCAACTTGACCCAGACGCAGCTCCAGCCGAGCGGCCCTCATGCACATTAGTAGGAGGTGGGACCTTCCTGGAAAAATCACCCACCTCCAGCACTCGGGAAGAGTCATTCAATGAAAACTTACCAAAAGTTCACGTAAAAAGAGACTCATTCTTTTTAGTAGCCCAACTTAAATCTGGAAGGGGTTGGAGTTAGGGGTGGAGAGGGACAAAAAAGAAGATAATTTTGTTTTTCCACACAAATGTAAAAATGACCTCTGATAAACTTTAAAGTGCCAAAAGTTCAGACACCACTGGAATATAAAGATGGAGAGATAGTATTAAAATATATTTTAATTCTGTCAAATACTCCCATATGAAACCATAACGACTGTGGAGGGAAAAAGGCAAAAACAAAGCAAGAAACAACTTACAGCATCTTGAGTCGTCCCCAGCCCATCATAATACATGACTCCTAGTTGGTAAATTGCTTGATGATCATTCTCCTTGATCTCTTCAAACTGTTCTAATGCTTCGTCATACCATCCCTATGAATCCCCAGAAAAAGAGTTATTCTTATTATACTTGCAAACTAATCCCAACCAAATATTCCATTTTCATCTTACAGTGAGTTGAGTTGTACAAAAGATAACATCAGATTTGTGGAATTTTCCGGTACGTCAGGGACAACACATCGCTACCGCAGAACATCAATGAAACCGACCCTGCCTGAGACAACTGGACACGTTATGCTGTCAGAAGAGCCCAGTCCCTGGAGAAGGACGTGGTGCTTGGAAAAGCAGAGGGGCAGTGAACAGGACCCTCCACCAGAGGGACTGACACCGTGGCTGCGACCATGGGCTCAGACTAAGACCAGGCAGAGTTTCGTCCTGTTGAACATGGGGTCAGTGTGAGTCGGAACCAACCGCATCATTCAATAGGACAAGTGAAGGCAGTGACCCGGAGGGGTCTGGTGAGTCCCTTAGACTCTCTTCACTTACACTCTCTGCTCAGGCCAAACTCACAAACTGATGGCTCGGCGCCCTACACGCAGGCTCGCCTGGCTGCCTGCACACTAGTGCGGGGTGGGAAACAGCTCAGGAAGGTGACCATGCCGTCCCATGCTCGTCGGGCGTTGCCAATTTCTAGCAGGGGAGCAGACATGGAAAAAGACACGTTTCTCCAGCCTTCTCTTCCGGCCACTCTCCCATCAAAGTGGAAATGCCATGCCATTTATCGAAGGTCCCTTGCTCATCGGAAGACTGACAGTAAATGTGCCAAGGTGAAGCCCAGAAATGATTGCCTTCTGCGACGGCGCAGCAGAGCTGCGATGGTGGAAACCAGCGCCTTCGGGAGTTGAGCAGTGGTTCCTTGGACCACTGGGCTCCAGAAACAGAACTTTGGAGAAACGAACAAACAAGTGGATATCTCTCTCACAAATAAGAATCCATTAACAAATTGATAATCCATCAAAATGACAGCAAAATGCCAACAACAATCGACACTGAAAAGCCATGAGGCGAGTGCAGCAAGAACACGTTCCAAATTGATTGTGCTGGTGATTGCACGACTTTATTTTTAAAGTTTTATTATTTTAAATCATTTTATTGGGGACTCCTACAACTCTTATCACAATCCATACATACATACATGTGTCAAGCACATTTGTACATTTGTTGCCATCATCATTCTCAAAACATTTGTTTTCTACTTGAGTCCTTGGTTTCAGCTCCTCATTTTCCCCTCCCTCCCCACACCCCCTCCCTCATGAACCCTTGATAATTTATAAAGTATTATTTTGTCATATCTTTTTTTTTAACCCATTTTATTGGGGGCTCGTACAATTCTTACCACAATCCATACAACATCCATTGTCAAGCACATAGGTACATTTGTGCACAACTCTTTTTAATAAGGTCAAACGGTCGAGTCGTGTGCTATGTGCAGTCTATGCCAATAAAACGGTGTGAAAAAGCAATGAGACAGTAGACGATGAATAAATGGCTCAATGAATGAGTGGTTGGAACTCATTCTTTCTGGCGACGTTTGCCTGGATGGGAGAGTGCTGAAGGAGAGCAAGAGAAAGGAAGCACTTTGAGTGTTCATTCTTAGAACTGCCCATCACATGCTGACAAAACTCAGGGCCATGCCTGCGACCCCATCTGTGGAACCTAGACTCACACGGAAGTCCATACCTTGAACCATGTCTACTCAGTTGGCTAATGGGTATCTCACAGTGATATGGCCTAAAAACGAAACGATGGTACTCATTTCCCTACAAAATGAACTTCTCCCCACTGCCCACACATCTGTCTTTTTCAGTTAGTGGTATCATTATTCAAGGATTATTTTAAATAAACCCAGCACCCAGCTGCACTCTCACTATGGCAAGGCCAGCCTTCCTTGACTGAACGAGTACGACAGCCTCCTCAAGAGATCTGTTCACACTCTACATTAAAAATCTTGGACACAAATGACGTATGTACAGATTGTGATGAGTTGTATGAGCCCCTAATAAAATGATTATTTAATTTAAAAAATCTAAAAAAGAAAATGCTTATATATTTATTTGAAATATGTAATATGCATAAAATGCTTTCTATGAATAATCATTGAAGACCCTGATTCTCCTCTAGAAATGAAAATCACTTTACCTGTTCCCATATGGAGGGAAAAGGGAGTGGCCCTCTCCATTCTTATTTATTATGCTGGGGTACCCTGAGAAGTACGGCTAGGAGAAGGGTCCATTAGGATCAGTTTTATGAGGAAACGTCCGCTACCCCCTAAAGCTGGTACCAGCATATTACTCAAAGCCTCATACATAATCAATATCATTGGAAGAGCATGCCCCTAGTGTAACATGCAATGAACTTTATAATAAAATTGTCACAATCACCTGACAACAGCATTAGAGGACATGAGAACAAAGAAATTATACCTCTTCAAAATATAGTTGACCTCGTAGGAAATAGGCCTGAGAGTCCCCGTTTCTTATTTTTTCCAGCAAGAGCTGCAATGCCTTATCTACCAGATGAGCATGGCTGTAATGATCTAATTGGGAACAACCAAAAAAAGACAAATATTTCCACGTTTAATCATAGAACCAGAATGTTCCTGCCTGAAATAACAAAGTGCGTAGAATGCATCGAATTCTGTCAATCTCACTTAACTCGACAAAGTATTAAGTTCAAGTTTGCCACAAAAGTAGGGGAAGCATTTTCAAATGTGTCCTCTGAACCTCCAGGTAAACCTTAGGAAGTATGTTCTTCTGAAGAATTTTTTGGACCTTTGAGACCATTATAAAGTCTTGACTTCAACTACACTTGCCTGGTCTTCGTTTCTCGATGAGTCTTGTCTCCGTGCTTTTGCTCATAGTAATTCCTTTACCCAGAATTCCCTCCTGTTCAGTTCAACCTAATATACAACCATCTCATTAAAATAAATCTCTTCTTAAACTACCATGTTCTTTAGCTTCCTACAACACATACACAATGTCTGCTGGCACTGACCAGACACCTACCACATAATCCTTGTGGTTTTATTGTTGCCATACACCAACACTTCTCTTCCCTCAAATTAAGATGTAAATGCCTTCAGACGATTGTCAACTCCTTATAGCTTACGTGCTTTGAAGTGCCTAACACCAAGCCAGGTCCAAGCAGGAAATGTTGGTTTACTCATCTTCAAAGTTACCCTGTTCACTGCCCAGCAGAAACCTGGGCAATGAAGTTGAAGTCTTAGTGCTGGTTGCAGTTTGGGCAAAGCTGCCTTGTAGTTAGTCTTCCTTTCAGCCTTAACTGCCTTCTAGTCAGCTAGCCATCCCCCACTGAGTATGGCTTTAAGCCTGTATGCAAAAAAGCAAAGCCGTGCTGTCCTCAATAGAAAAGGCACCTGACCTCTTTCTTCCAGAAGGCTCTCCACAGGTGCTGACCATAAAATCAGGGTCAGGATCTCCTGGTGAGATCACTACTGATGGATGACTTGCTAGCAGAGAAACACTTAGCAGTTGTCTTGTGGGAAGGCTAGGAAGGACTGGAAAATTAACCTGTGCCTTGAAAGCATTCTGGCACACACTCCTAGTCTCTCATTAGCACGCGCCTACACAATTCACTTTAGGGGAAATTTTTCCCAAGAAAGAGTAGACATCAAGACTTGTACCCTCCTCTCCCTGGGTCCACTTTTGGTTAACAGCATCCTGGGTTATGATCGAGGGATGAATGGAGTTCGTGGGCATCTTTTCACTGGATAACATCATCCTGGCACCACGACGTGTGTTCTGTAACGAGAACAGGGTATAAGATGGTGAGAGCGTTGTCTCCAGAAGAGCACAAAGAAGTCATCCCACACTTCTTTGGCACCCAACTATGCACTCAAGATGTCTTATCTGAAACTCTGGGTCAGAGTCTGTGTGTACAAAGCATGCTTGCTCACTGTCTGAGCTCTGAGATACCAGCTTTAGAATGCAAGTGATCATTTCCAGGAAACCCAGGCCCTCCATAGCTTTTCTCCCTGTTTCCATGGCGTGGAATTGATGGAGGGGCCTGTTTGTCAGTCCTCTCAGTCTGTGCTGCATTGGGTGACCTTGGCCATCCATACAGTTCCTGTGCACTTGGAGGGTCTTTGTGCCTTGTGGCTGAGGCTCCTCAGACCAATCCATTTCAAAGGTAGTCAAGCCTTTGTCTCGTTTACCTGGGAATACACTTGATTTAGCTCTGCCGCTCGGCTTTATTTCCCCGTCTGTCTTGGATCGCCATGTTACAAGGTGGGTCACAGCTGAATGGTGAATTGGAGCCTTCATATAAAACATAGAGGCCACCGCATCTTGGATGAAGGCGTCCAGGTTGGCGCAGACTGAGGGTAGTGGGACAGCAAACGGAGTTGTTGCTATGCTTTTTTTGTTGACTCCTGGGCATTCTACTGTTAAAGCTTACTTCCACCAATCAAGACCAAGCTTCTAGTAAAGGATCCTGATTGGTGGTTAAGAGAAGAACTCAAGAGATCCTTACTGTGATTGGAAAGCAGTGTTTATAGTTATAGAATGTTAATTTGATTCAGAAAATGTTTCATCAATGAGAATGAAGTGCAGAAAATGAAAACCCATTATCAAGGTTATTCTAACTCATGGTGACCCCACAGGATGGTGCAGACTGCTCTGTAGGGTTTCCGAGGCTGTAAACCTTTAGGGAAACAGACTGCCTCATCTTTTTCCTGCATAGCAGCTAGTGAATTTGAACCACCAACTTTCAGTTCCTGGAAATGCAGGAAAGGGATTAAATGTCGTGTACTGGGGGAAAATTATTGAACTATTTTTGAGACTATGAAATAGTTATTGAATTTACTGTCTTAAGAGCCAAGTTCCTCACCTTAAGTTTGGAATTTGAACTAGAGGATTTTAAAATGTCTTGTCCTCAATAAACCATTATTTAAAAACTCTGTATGATTCTAAACCTTTTAAGTTTGAATCAGAGTATAAAAGTTTCCAGTAAACTGTAAGGTTACGATCTTTAGAAGAAAACCATTCCAATGGGATGAGGTGGTTAGAATTAGAAGTTACTGTTCAGAAACTACATATAGAAGTTTTTATTTGAGTGAAGATATTAACCCAGGGTGACACCGCTGTATCCAAAAGACTAAGAAACCCCTCTCGTGTTTAGGGAAACAAAATCGGAAATCAATACGCTGCCCCATTTACAGTCATTGTGCCTTCTGTGGCAATAATACTGTACTTCTTTTTGTTGCTTTTTTTAAAAAAGTGTTGGAAAGAGTCTCAAAGGATAAAGATTTCCAAGAGGAAGTACAGAGAGCTGAAAGAAGATGGAACATGAGAGTGGGAGAGGAGGAAAGTAAAAGGAAATAGAGGAAGGAGCTAGGAGTCAAAAGACATATATAGAGTTATAAACAGGCACATACACATATACAGATATTAATATAAAATGATATAGGTGTGCGTACATATATTTATAGGTTAAGTATTAAGGTAGCAGATGGACTTTGGGCCCCTACTCAAGTCCTCCCTCAATGCAAAAACACTTTGCTCTAATAACCTGGCATTCTGTGATGCTCACCTTTCCAACAAGATCGCTGAAGACAAAATGGGTGCATAAGCTAATTAATGAGGAAAGCTGATTATGTCTGGCTATTACAAGATATAACATCTAGGGTCTTAAAGGCTTGAAGATAAACAAGCAGCCATCTATCAGGGAAGCAACAAAGCCCAATAGGTAACATCATGCTAAATGGAGAAAAGGTTGAAGTTGCAAAAGATTCTGTCTTGCTTGGACACACCATCAATGCTCACAGAAGCAGCAGCCGAGAGACCAAAAGACATATTGCATTGGGGAAATCAGCTGCACAAAAACCTCTTTAGAGTATTGAGAAGCAAGGATGTTACATTGAGGACTAAGGTGCACCTGCTCCAAGCCAGGGCTTCTCCATTGCCTCATATGTATGTGAAAGTGAGACATTGAATAAGGAAGACCAAAGAAACATCAGCGCATTGGAATTGTGGTGCTGGAGAAGAATGTTGAAAATACCGTGGACCGCTAAAAGGACAAACAAATCTTAGAAGACATATGGCCTGTGTGCTACCCAGAGGCAAGATGGCAAGGTTTCATCTCACAGACTTTGGACATACTGCCACGAGAGACAAGTCCCTGGAGGACGTCATGCTTGGTGAAGTGGAAGGACAGCAAAACAGGTAGGCTCTGGTCACAATGGGTTGACTAGGAGCTGCGACACTGGGCTCAAGCAGAGGAACAGTTGTAAGGACGGCACAGTGCAGTGTTCCGTGCTGGTGTGCAGAGTTACTATGGCCAGAGGCGACTCAGTGGTAACCTAGTAACAGCACTAGCATCACAAACGCAATGCAGAAGGATTTTAATCCAGAGTCCAGGTACTAAAACACAGGAGTTACATGCTTTCACGTATACTAATTGCTCATTTCCCTCAAAGCATGGCTACAGTTAAGGAAAGATGGGGCTAATAAAGGAAAGTGACTAAAATCTCTGGCAACACAAATTTAAATGGACTTGTTCTAAGGACTATGAGAGAATCACATCTAACAGGAGCATTGGATCTTTGACAAAAGAATCATGAGTAGACTGGTAAGGTTGGTTGGTTATAGCCTTAGGCCACTTAAAAAGAACATAGAACATCATGGCATCATTTCACCCCAATATTTCTCCTTTCTAGGCCCAGGCTAACTTCACAGACAATTCTCCTAGAACATTTGTCTTGGCTCCACTCATTTCACCCCAATATTTCCCCTTTCTAGTCCCAGGATAACTTCCCAGACAGTTCTCCTAGAACATTTGTCCTGGCTCCACTCTGGTGAGAGGCCTAATCAAAGAACAACTTTGGTAAAAACAAATCACATTTGATTTTTGCCAAAGCCTTGGCTGAGTTTTGGAGATAGTATATAATTACTGGTGATGGCCGGGGCAAGGGTATGCCTGGGACTGGCTAATGGAAAAGATGGTTTGAGTTGAAGAGGCCAAACCACTGAAATACCGAGAAGTGGAAGTGGAAGGTGAATGTAGAGAAATGAATGCTGGAGATCACAGGTGTCAAGGTCCTTGGGTCCCAAGGGTGTTGACTAGAGCTCAAAAGGAAGCCAGTCCGATTCTGGTAAGTAGTGACTAAGGGGGGCTGTCTGGAAGGTCAACAGCTGAGAGCATAGTGGTGCATAGTAGAGTCAGATGACTTGTAGCTCAAGGAATATGGAGTGTTTGAAGAGGATTTAGAAACTACCAGGGGAAACAAGGTAGACACCTCTCATGAGTGCATCGGTTGGTATTAACGTAGGTCTCCAGTATGAGAGGCAGTCCTTCTACCATTGACCATCTAAATCAAAACCAATGCAGACCCATGCCATCCCTCAATTCTGACTCATTGAGAGCACGTGTTTGTCAGAGCAGAGACACAACTGGCCGTGTCCCTCCAGAGTCCCTACTACGTTGGGTGCTATCAAGTCAGGTCTGACTCATAGCAACCCCGTGTCCCAGAGAAGGAAGCGCTGCCCGGCCCTGTGCCATCCTCACAGTTGGGGCCAGGCTTGAGCCCATCGTTGCAGCCACCGTGTCAGTTCATCTCCTCGAGGGCCTGCTCTTTCCCACGGATCCTACTTCACCAATCCCAAGGCCCTGTCCAGCCGCTGGTCTCTCCTCATAACATGCCCTTAGCGTGTGAGACAACGCCGTACTGTCCTCGCTTCCAAAGAGCGTTCTGGTTAGTCCAAGACCCTACTAATCACCACTTGAAGCCCTGGGGCCTATGGTGTGGGATGGAAGCCGATTCTACATATGAACTCTTCAGGGAAGCTGTGTCTTCTTTAGAGAAGACATAGATTTCAATATTGAGCAAGACATGGATGCTTACAGAAAAAGCTATTCTTGTGGAAATCAAACAATGACAACAAAAATTCCTGGTACAACCATTGGCACGCAAGACTACTATAGAAATTATGGTCAAAATGCTCAGATGAAACAAAAATGGGTACAAATATCAGGAAAGATGTAACAACAACAAAAAAATAAAAGAAAATCCCGCCTTTCTTGGAGATGATGATTGCGTAATTTGAATATCCAAAGAAATCAACTTCAAGACTACTTGAATTGATTCAGTAAAGTGGTGGGCTAGAAAATAGGCAAAAATGAAAAGCATGCTTTGCACAGACAGTGAAAGGATCTATTGGACAAAATACATACTCATAATAATAGCACAAAAGTACAAAACCGGAAATCTGCCAACTTTTTACAGGCTCGTTCGAGTAAACCCAGAAAGGGATGGGCTCAGCACAGGAGCAGGCCTGGGAAAATGCTCGGACAGCCGCCCTGTGCTCGTGGGGACGACCTGCCTCAGTAGAGTGTTACTCGGACGTGGATTTTCAGGCCTTTCCGTGCTTTGAAAAAGCTGCCAGATGGCCTTTTAGTCCCCCTCTGAGCCATCCTGCCTCCACACAGGAGGGGGTGTGCTGGCAAGGCCTCCAGAACTGGGAGGCTGTGCTCCCTCCTAAGAAATGCCTAGGACTCTGTACATCTTTGGGAGTCATTAGAGACGTGGTTGCTTTGGGTGGGAAACAGAAAGGGTATTCCCCAGGTTGTCCCTCCATATTATATGCCAAACCCAAGATACTGCTTGCTAACAGTATCAGTAACTATACACTTGGAGGTCAACTGCTTAAAGGTTATCTGCTTGAGGGTTATCAGCCAGCTCGAGCAATCAGACCCTTTAGCAGTGGTTCTCAACCTGTGGGTCGTGAGCCCTTTGGGGGGTTGAACGACCCTTTCTCAGGGGTCATCCTGCATATCAGATATTTACATGACAATTCATAACAGTAGCAAAATGACAGTTATGAAGTAGCAACAAAAATAATTTTATGGTTGTGTGTTACCACAACAAAGGATCATGGCATGAGGAAGGTTGAGAAACACTGCCCTGTAGTCGGTCCCACCCAAAGTGGAGCCCACTCCCTTCTGATAAGGAGAGTGGATTGCTCCCCTGGAGGAGAGCCCAAAGACATTCAGTTGTGTGGGCGGGTACCCCACACCTTTGGATTTTCAAATAGTACTTGCTAGTGTTGAAGAGCTCCAGGGGCAGCACTCTGAAGAATTCTCAGGTGAGGACAGAGGAGAGTGGATGCCCTTGCAGCATGGACAGTTGTTTAGTGCTCTGTAAATACGGGAGACGAGGGAGGGAGAGGCCACAGGTAGGACGCCGGTCGCCATTGTGTTGCGTAGTAGAATGATATGATCCCTGATGGCACACTGGTTAAGTGCTTGGCTGCAAACTGAAAGGTCAGCTGTGGATACCCTCAGGTTTTCAGCAGGAGAAAGAAGTGGCAGGCTGCTGACAAAACGATGACAGCTTTGTGAACCCTACGGGGCAATGCCCCATTGTGTCCTGTAAGGTCGCTGTGAAGTCGAATAGGATTATGTACTTGAGATGTTTAATCTGAAACTTTGGGTCAGATGGGCTTCAGAGTTATTCAAATGTCAGCATGTTGAAAGGTCAAACATTCCATGTATAAAATACAAGGGGGCTCCAAAAAGTTTTTGGACATTTATAAATAGCATCTTTGGTCCTGAGGTTGTATAGTTACCATAGCCAGGGGAAAAAAAAGACAGTGGAATTTTCCCATGAACTTTCTGAAGCCCCTTTGTATTATACACCACCACACATAATCTAGGGCAGTACCCTTTCATCATAATTATTAGTATTTCTGTAGCACAATATATTAGCACAACAAATGGACTATAAACCTCATTGCCCTCAAATTGATGTCAACTCATGGTAAGTCTGTAGGACGGACAGAGTATAGCTGTCCACCGCATCGCTGAGAGGGTAAATCATTGTCGGAGCAGACAGCCTCATCTTTCTCCCGTGGATCAACCAGTGCGTTCCTGCCGCTGACATTGTGATTAGCCCCCTACACTATGCCACCAGGGCTCCTAACATGAACTATATAAACTACTGTTTCAGGGGTTTGGGTATTTCTGAATTACAAATAAGAAAATGTGGTTCTGTACATCTCTTCTTTATTTCTCCCATATTCTGTAATAATGAGGCGAGGCTACAAATTCACTCATCACATGGAAGAACATGGAAAATGCAGTTTATCTTGGTCTATAAATGCTCTAGTGGTCTTCAATGCTTCCTCACCACATGAGACCATCACTTAGATTTGCTTCTTAAACATACTTCCTTTTCCCCCCCAATTAAAATGATTTCAAACCTCATTCACATTTAGTCTTCTCTGGTGTCTAGGACTGCTCGGGGACCTACCAGCTCTCCCTAACAGCAGGGGTAGGTCCTCATGGCCCCTGGTGCTGGCCTATCTCTGCTGAGGGAATGCTGGGGCGAGCTGTGACCTGACTGACCAGCAACTACAAAGGGTGCAATTGGTCTCACACTGATTTTTCCCATGGCTCAAACTCATGGTCTGTAAACTTGACCCTTAGTCTTAGAGACTTACCACATCATCTTGATGCCAAGTCTTTACTGGTCCACTGATTCTCCTAGCAGCTCAGACTCTCGCTGGAACTCTGGTGTGGCCCGCACAGTCCATGTTGATGTGGGAACACAGCCTCAGCCCAGTCTATCAGCTCCACGCTTGCCACTGTGTTTGGAATGTGGTGTCAAACTGCACACCGTGGTAGAACAGTGGTTCTCAACCTGTGGGCCACGACCCCCCTTGGGGGTCGAACAACCCTGTCACAGGGGTTGCCTAAGATCATCAGAAAACACTTATTTCCGATGGTCTTAGGAACGGAGACATCACTCTATCTGTCTCCAGGCGGGTCCTTCCACATGCAGACACACCCACATACGAGTACCCGGTATGAAGACTTACCTATGCTACACCATGCTTCAAGACAACATTTCATTTATTTGTCATTAGAAGTAAATATTTCACAATATAGAATTACACACTGTTTTTGTGATGAATCACTGTGCTTTCATTATGTTCAATTTGTAACCATGAAAATACATCCTGCAAATCAGATATTTACATGACGATTCATAATAGCAGCAAAATGACAGCTATGAAATAGCAACAAAAATAATTTTATGGTTGCGGGTCACCACGACATGAGGAATTATATTAAAGGGTCGCGGCATTAGGAAGGTTGAAAACCACTGTTCTAGAAGCTTCCAACCATTCTCACCACAGCACAAGGAAATCAAGCTTTCCTCTACTTATTGGGAGATTTTCCCAAACCAGGATGCAGTAGTTTTGTGCGTCACAAGGCTGTCCCCTACTTTATCTAGCCCATCGCTGCACATTTCCTATGCATGCAGCCCGTGAGGTCCCCATAAGAGCATGCTGGGGCCTCCTGTTGACAGCTTTCCTTCGACTAGCCCATCCTTTCTGAACACTGCCGGTGATGCACGCTCGGGAAGGATGGAGCTTGAACTTCTCCTTCCTCTGTCAGAGCCTTCGCACAGCAAGTCTCGGGGCTAGTGATCACATTTGGGATGGAAAACCCTTTTATAATATACAGTAGGACCCAGGGACTCAGCCGCATCAGTACTTGACATAATCAGATTTTGTGAAATGTTGAGAAAATTTTGCATCAGAGCTCAAACAAAACATCGGAATCTCACCCAACACATGTGATTTTTGTAAACAAATGCAGTTTGTGTTTCAGTCACTGGGCATTAGTTGGCGTTGTTAGTATGTGTTGTTTAAACCTTTTGCGGCTGTGTTCCAAGCATTTTGCTATAATTTTCTTAGTTTTGATACTGTTTTTAGATAAAATAAACCCCTGGGTCCTAAGAAAGAGTTTTTTTTTTAAGGATCATCATGATAAGGAACTGGTTAACTGTGTTATCAGTATTGTTGATGATTTAGTAAACCCTTTTAGAAAAACAGTTACAGAAACGCCAACAGCAGA